TCCCTCCCCGAGTCCCTGCCTTCGACCAGAGCCCTCGACGAGTCAGACATCTGGCCTGGCCGGACACAATGCGCATCTGCAGGCAGGCTCGGCCGGACAAGGCAGCGCTGTGCGGCCCGCTCCCCCTCCTCGGCATGAAAGGTGCCCCCCAGTGCCATCTCCCCCCAGCTCCACTGCCCGGCCCGAGGGAGCAGCTCCCTCCAGCACTGGGACCTCACCGCGCTGGCCCCACAACGGACATTTTCCCACGCACCGAAGCTCGAGAGCTCCCGCTGCAGAAAGCAGCCTTGCCACAAGCACACTCTGCCGCTCGGTTTTCCCTTCTCCTCCCGACCCCCATCCCTCCCACCGCTGCTCCTCCGGCCACCTCACTGCCCAAGGGGTTCTTGAGCCAGGGGCCGCCCCTTGCCCGTGGCAGGGAAGGGGGTGGCGCAGACCAAGCCTCTCCTTGTGCCACCACCGCCGGCAGCCACCCAGATCCCGCTGCAGGGAGGGGACGTGCCGTGGCGTGGCCCTGCTGCCCGGGCACTGCCTCTCCCAGAGCCAAACAAACGAGCTTGGTGGCTTTGGTGCCGAGCTGGTGCCCCCAGCGCAGCCCTGCCGCCGGAGAGACCCTGCTGCCCCCCCCCAGTCCTTTGGGCAGGACAGAGGTGGGACCGTCCCCAAGCCACTGGACTCTGCACCGCTCCCAGGCAAGGACACACCGCAGGGCTCACCCTGCCGTCCCCGCTCACCCCTTCGGGCGCTCAATCTGGGGAGGAAGGTGGGGGTGCAGGCGGTGCCGGCTGCCCGGTAGCCTGGTGATCCTCTCTGCTCCAGACCAAGGAGGAGCCCCCCAAAACTCTGCTCCATGCACCAGCAGCACAAAGCGACCGACTCGGCAGAGCCCGCAGCAGCCGGGAGGGTGCCCCGAGCCAAGTGCAGTGCGACAGGCTGGTGAAGCCACCGCGGCAATTCTCAGCCTTGCAGCAGGAAAGGACAGCTCTTCAAAAGACACCGAAAGGAGGGTGTTTATCGCTGGCAAGGGCCTTTGCTCAGGAGGAGCAGACGTGCCCCTGGAAGAGGTGACGGGGCACGGAGCCACCAGCCCAGACTGCTCAGGCAGAGCAGGGACGTGCTTGTTGACTTCTGCCGTGGGGACAGCACAGCGTGGGGACACCCAGGGGAGAGATGTAATACATGCTTAAGAAAAGTAAAATAAGGTCACGTCTGGCTGTTGTAAGGCCTGGATGCTGGTCCCAGTCTTCTTTAAGCTCTGAGCTAGGGCTTCTGGGAGGGGGAAATCCAACACTGGTGCAAGAAGCCCTGAGAACAGCGATGATTTTGCAGCCTGGGAAAAGCAAGGGGCTCGGGGCTCGCAGGCCACCTCTTGCAATGGCCAGCCACCATTCCCTGGGGGTGACAAAGGGGCGCTTGTGTTCACCTGGACCGGGAATGGGGCTGGCCCCGGGGGCGGAGGGGAACCAGGAACCACGCGGCATCTGACGCCACCTGCGGTAAGTGACCCTGCTACGGCGAAGCGAGGAGGGTGCCATCGCCCCGCGGCCGGGTACCAGCTGTCAGGGAGGTGCAGGTGTGGAGCGGGGCCCCACGGCTGCCCTGGGGATGGAGCCTGGCGTGAGGCTAACGCGTGAGATCCTGCAGGCAGGAGCTGAGCTCGCCGTGCAGGCACGGGCCTGGCTTCTGGTCTGCACTTGGCGAGAGGGCAGCTCTCCGCCCCAGAAAGCGCTCTGCTAGGTCGGTGGTTCAGGGAACCTGGTGATGTGCAGCGGATCGTGGGCATCTCGCCAAGTAACGGCAGCGTGACCTGGAGCTGCAGGACGCGTGCCATAGCAGAAGAGAGGCTGCTGTGCTGGCGATGGCTGGGTGCTGTCCCTGCCGGTCCCAGGGGAGGGTGTCCAGAGGAGTGACATGCCCTACCTGCTCCCGGGACGGCATCCTGAAATAACACCTGCCTGCATGTCCTTGAGGTCCCTCCTTGGAGCGCTCCTGAGGGATGTTCCCAACATCTGGGAGCCTTCCCAGCCTCCCACCTCAAGGGATGTCACTGAGGAGTGCGTGCCTTCGCAGTTAAGTAGGTTAAGAAAGTCCTTTCTCCAAGGTCTGGATTAGCCACTGCTGCTCCAGGCGGAACGGACTCGGGGGGGGGGACGCTGCCAGTCAAGCGAGGACTGCATGCAGGGACCTCAGCTGGAAGGGGGTCTGTCCCAACACGGTGCCATGAAGCAAGCCCATGCCCCCCATGCAGGGAAAGCAGATGTGACACCCAGGAGCTTTCCCTGCTCTTCAGAAGGATTGGGCAGGATAGGCTGAGGAGCAGCAACCCCTGCCCATGGGCTGAGAGCTGCTCCTGGGGGATGGAGCACGATGTACGGCCAGGGACGAAGCAAGATGTACCCTATGAGTGGGCAAGACGTCTTCGTGCACCGGGGTTTTGGGGGTCTGCCTCCTGCTTTCTTTTCAAGAGCACTGCACTCACCAGCAGGTCACAGCATCCCCATGGTGGGATACCCTGCTCAGCCCCGTGCCCCAGACCAAACTTCGCCTGTGGATGCAGACAAGCTCTGAAGAGGGACAGACTGCAGCTGAAACTGCTGCGGCAAGACAGGGCCAGGCGCTGGGACCCACGCTCAGCTGGGAGCAGGCACGGGACGCCTTCAGGGACGGAGACAGGCACAGGGGATGGTGAGATGGCACGGCATTCAGGGCCGCTTTGCTCCGAACGCACGCTGGCTCCCACAGACGTGTCCCTCCAGGATGTCCTGCACAATAGCTCCGCTTCAGCAGCAAAGAGCTTGTGTTGATCTTGCCGTCGCTTTGGGTAGCCGCTGGCTTCCTGCGGGCACGTACGCTGTGAGCAACATCCGACAGGGAAGGGATGTTGCAGGGAGCTTCACGTTTTCCGTGCTGGGGCCCGCAGGATGAGTAACAAAGGAAAATGGAAGGAGCAAGCGTGTGCGCGTCGGCGTCACTGCTCAGAGCTGGCCAGCGTGTCCCGCGTCCTGACGTGCGCCCACCAACCCAGCGGGAACCCCAGCTCTGCCGCCGATGCTCTCCCAGCGGTGCCTTCTCTGTCCCTTACCCACCAAAGTCATTAGGTCTAATTTGTTCTCCCTGCTGTTCCAAGGGCTGACGCTGGTTGCAGCACGGCTATACTGGGCCAAGGTTTCTGGGCACAGAGACAAAAGAAGGTGTTGGCTTTCGTCCTAGCTGCTTTTTAGCTCTCTGAAGTTAGCAAACACCTGCATATCGAAGCATGGGACGACGGTTGCCTGCTCTCCCGCCTCTCTGGACTTCATACCGCTCTGCTCGTACGCCACAGGAGAGCGCTTGCTCCCCCCAGGCCTCTGAAAGACCTGGAGTTGGTGCTTCGGTTCTTTAAACAAGACTTTTCTTTAACAAGCGTGTCAGGCGATACTGCTGTCCTGCTAGGCAACTCTTCATTAAAACTTTATACTTTAGGAAGCCTTTCACAGAAGACACACTCCAAGCATCCCGCCCATCAGATGGCAGCAGGCAGGAGCAATTCAGTAACTCAAAAGGATTTCCAGAGGGAGGAGAGTATCGAGTCCTGAACAAGCTCCCAACCAAAGCAGGCGGCATGCGAGCAGACCCTGCCGCAGCGCTGGGAGGCTCGGAGCTGAGCCCAGCGTGGCTGCTGGGCAGGCACGGGGCTCGCTGAGGCACCGGCCGAGTCTCCTACAACTGGTGGAGGAAGGCTGGGGCTCTGCGGGGCTGCTGTGGGGCACGGGGGACAGCTGAGCGCAGGAGACACGGATAAACATCCAGTTTGGGCATGGAGTATTTTGACCAGAGCCCTTGGGCTGCCCTGGTACGGGTGCTCTGTGAGGGGCACCTTGGCCAGCCGGGCTCCAAGGAGCGCCCAGTTCACACGGGCTGGTTACTCACACTGAGCTGATTTCCTTGGGGAAGTCTTGCATGTGCACAGCCCGAGCGAGCCAGCGTGAAGCCGGTAGAACACATTTTCTTCCAAAAAAAGAAGATCTTTCATGGGTCGAGAGAAGAGGAAACTGAAGAGTGCTCGACACTTTGATTCATGCACATTCCCCTCCCCGCGCCAGTCATTTGCCTTTCCTCTTGCAACGCGCTCCTTCTCTGCTCCGTGCTCCTCTGCTCTAACCGCCCGCTGCCCCCTGCGTCGCCTGGGCTGCTCCATCGTCCTTCTTCCCTTCTCAGCCTCGCGCGTGCTTGGGTCCTGGGTGGGAGTGTTGGCTTGGCAGAGACTGACACCAGGCCTTTCAGCCCCGCAGCATTAGCCTGTATTTCAGAGCTCCACTGCAGGACACGGGCATTCAGCACAGTGACAAAACCTCTTTTCGGTCCCATAAAATGCCCCCTGAAGTATGACGGCCTGATGGAAACCCCGATCCCTGGCTGCTTCTCGATGGGTCTCACTAATAGCCCTGGGCTTGGCTTGCTTGCTCTTCGACTCCATCACTTCTGATCTGCCAAAGTCTACCTGGTTTAGCCTTCCGCCGGCCCCGAGGACAGCCTGGGACACTTGCATTCCTCAGAAAAAGGAAGGGACTATTTGTGCTTTATTGCTCACCACTGAACCTTACAAAAGAAATTAAAGGAGCCAAGAAGGGCCCCAGAGAGGACACCTGCTTCTGAAGAAAAACCATGGGGCATGAAAAATTGAAAGCATTTCCTAAGAGGGCACAGAGAGAGAGAGAGGATTTAGCTTTAGTGAGAACATCTCGATTTGCCTAAATACGCAAGTCCCTTATTAAATTACTGTCCTGTTGGGTAACTGTTCAGCAAAGGGATCAAAACCGTGTCAGTCTAGATTGCAAATGAGACTTGGGAATTCAGTGGTGAGGGATAAGCCACGAGCCTGAAACATCCCGACGGGAAAATGGCAAAGTTCAGGGGGTACGGAGAGACCCGGCCAGGCCACAGGTACGAGAGGCAGCGCTCGCTCGCAGCCTGGTCCCCAAGAACGCTTCTGATGTGAGCAGCTGTGTGAGCATCCAAACACCCTTCCCTCCTGCCACGGGCGCAGCCCCGCTGCCGGGCCCTGTGCAAGCAGAAGTGCTGCTGCCTGTCCCGCCAGACAGGGCCGTGGTGCAGCGCAGGCAGGTTTCACATCCTCACCGAGGCTGCCTGACTCCGGGGCTGGTGCTCGTTAGTTAAAAACAGCAGTTTCTCAAAACTGCAGATTTGCAATAGAAAGCCAAGTGCCACAACGCGCTGGACTGAAGAGAGCGGCGTCCTCGCTGTCCCTGCCGCTGGCCACACAAGCAGCTAAAAGCCACCCCAGGGGGACCTGCCAGCACAAAAGCCCTTTCTTTCCTCTGGGGTGGGTTTTCAGCCCCCTTTCTTAAAGCAGCACCAACCCAGCCCGGGTTGTCCCTCGACTCCTCTGCTCCCTTCCCGCTCTCCCAGCAGCAGCCGGGCTGGGGACAATGAGAGATCCAAGCTCTCGAGCAGAAGCCGGTAACAGTCCAACCACTGAACCCTTCCAAGCATCACAGAGGTGAACTCTGACCTGAACTCGTACTTCTACCATTTATTTACTTGCTCTATTATTTTGAACTAGTGTGTTTCACAGAAGTAACGCACCACATCACCAAACACTTCCTCCCACCCATCCCACGTGTGCCCCTTCAGCCCTTCCAACCGCCTGCCCTGAGCGAGGGGACACCCACGTCCACCCCGCGCTCTCATGGCTGTCGGCTGTTGCAGGATACACATTTCTTGCCCAAAGGATCCAAGACGCTGCCCAAGGTGCAGCTTTCCACGCACAGAAAGCTGCGACCTGCATTGGGAAGCCTTGGCATCCTTCCTGTGGCGGGGAGCACGCGGCCCGCGGCTCAGCACTGATGGGGCTCTCCTCATCACACCCGGGGAACCACGACCTGATGCCTTAAGCAGAGAATTTGGCGACCTCTTTCTGGAGGAGCTGGGAGCCGGGTCCCTGCCCAAAGACCATCAGCTCCAAGCTGGAGAGGCTGAGCAGGAACCCAGAGGCTAAATGGGAAGAAGTGGGAGTCGGCACTGCTTTGAGGCCTGTCCTGATATGAAATCCATCCTACAGGTGGGACACCTGATCAGAAAGGACTGGTTAATGTTTAATAAGTCACAAAAACATCCTGTGGCAGAGGCGCAGAGCGCTTCCCTCCCGCTGGGGCACTCACCATCCTCCTGGCCGTGCAGGTTCTGCGGGCTGCGCATGCTCTCGTCCTGGCTGGGGCTCAGGCTGGAGTTCAGGTGCTGGTCAGCTGAGATCCATGTGGAGTCGTTCATATCAAAGTCCTCGCTGCTCACCGATGTCTCATCCTGGAGGCAAGCAGGAAAGGGTTAACTCGCTCAGCTATTTTCTTTCCTCCTTTCTCTGGCTTTAACATCTCCTCACCCCAACTCCTTCCCAGAAACAAACGGCAGCCCCGCCCCCCCCGGGAACGCTGGCTGGCCCCTGGGTGCTGCCCAAGGCCACGAGCAGCCCTTCCCTGGGCCGGGCTAGGTGGCTGCCGGGCTCTGCTTCCTGCCTGAAGACATGCCTGAGCAATGGCACTGTCTCTAATTGAGGACAATTAGAAAGAGCTCGCATCCTGTAGGAGCGGATGGCTGAGCCCCGGAGTTTACCCTTTAATCTCCATCCACCCCAGCGTGCTTCTGGCGAGGCAGCGGCATGGGGGAGCCAAGGACAGGGTGCAGCTCCATTGAAATGGCTCCGTAAAACACCTCGGACCTTTTTGAAATCAAATCGTCTGCTGCAACAGGAGCCACCAGAGGACTGGCACGGGCAGGGGATGGCCGGTGGGGCAGATCCCCATGGCGGCGCTGGTTCCCACAGGCCGGCACTGCCGGCTGCTGCAGAGGGGGCTCCTGGAGCCCAGGGTCTCTGCCCCTCCAGCCCTCCCCAAAGGGACACTGCCTCTGCGCCCCGATCAAAAATGACGACGTGCACCTTGGGAAGGGGCTGGGGGAGTGAGGTCCCCAGCGAGGCAGGGACACCCCGGCTCGGGCTGGGGAGCCCAGCCAGCCACCCGCTCCCTGATGGCATAGATGACATTCCTCTCTCCCACTCCTGCAGCTGAAAGGACATTTTCTCTCTCCCTCTCTCTCCCTTTTCGCTAACCTTTACAGTACTTTGAGACACAGCCCTTGGATCGCTTCCAGCGCCGGAAAGGTCAGCCACAGGATTTCAAAACCATCATCATAAAGGCAGCACTGAGATCCTGAATGAGAGGAGGGGCTGCGGGACCTCCCCGGGCTGAACTCTCCCAACGCGCAGCTCGGGAGGAAGCAGATACGTGTCCCGTGCGAACACGGTCCCGCTGGTGATCCCTTTATCTGCCTTCCTCTCCCTGCTCCCCTCCCAAAGCAACAGGCAGAGACCGCATCCAGAGCCCTGGGGTGCAGGGGAACACCAAAAATGTTTCCAGAACCGCTTTCAACTGCGCTTTCCTTTGATTGAAACATTTCAAAGGCTTGTAAACTCTCTGCTCTTGGTTTTTGTTGTGTTTTTTTTTTTCTCCCCCTGGTCCTGAGATAAAATACAATCCCCGCTCCCTTTCCTTGCAAGAAGCAATTGGCAAGCACCCCTCCAACCTACGCCTGCGCCTCATAAAAACTGCCCTGTCTGGCTGCCGCTGGCTGACAGTTTTTATTGTGAACAAACAAAATGTCTTTAAAGACAGGTTTGTGCTTTTCCTCCCCGCTCCTCGTCCCTGCAGACACATCTGCTGGCCCAGGGCTCGCGCCCGCCCCCAGCCCGCTCCCTCCATGTGCCTCCTGGGGAGTTTCCTGGAATTTACGGCTTGTGAAGCCCAGCACGCAGGGACGGACGGACGGACAGACGGCCTGTGCTGCCAGCCAGGTGCCCCCTGCAGCCCCCTGTGCCCAGGTCAGGCAGAGGAGGGAGGTGGGAGGCAGGGGGGCGGCACGGCGTCCCCCGACTCAGCACAGCACCGCTGCCACGCCAGCCACGAAGCCATCCTGCCTCTCCAGAAACTCCATCTTGTACGTACAGGAACAGAACTGCAAAGGTCTCCCTGTTGCAAACTATAAATAGTCTCTTTATTGTAAGCATTTGCAGGGAGGCAGCCACCCTAATATCTGGCCTTCTTCACAAGGCTTACTCAAGATTACTGTCAGAGCTTAAGAGACAAATGCAAATGCCAAGGTCCTGGCTGCCCACAATCTCTCACCTGTCCGGTGAGGAGGAGGAGCCCTGGGAGCGACCCACGATGTTTTTGGAAAGCGCCTGGCTCAGCCGTAGCATCTGAGGGGCTCAGCTGCGGAGGACGCCCGACCTCGGCCCCCAAACCACAACCCGGGAGGCATCACGCTCTCCACGCCCTCACGCGTGGTGGAAAAGCAGTGACATGAAGGATGCCTCGCATGCACATGCTACGTAAAGTGCTTTATAAATGTGTGCAATCCTCTGGAGGTGCAGTAACATTTGCCTATTATTAGAAATACTCCGCGTATCAGACCAGAAACTGATAAGCTATAAATGACTCAAGTTAAACAAGGCCGTCGCACGTTCACGAGTCCAGGATCCAGCCACCAGCCGAAAGCGCAGGCTGCTGCTCTTGGACCCTGCCAGGCGACCCCGTCCCCGCGTCCCCAGTGTCCCCCCCTGCTTTCCAGCCAGGGCCTGCTGCTTTCCAGCACTAACACCCTTGGCCAAAACACCAACGGGACAAGCTTCCCGGCAGCGCACAGATCCCGCAGCACAGCCCACCCCAAGGGAGTGCCAGCGGTGGCAGGGGGAACCCTTTACTGCAGCCGCCAGCAGCCAAAGCCGGCGGTGGGAACTGCCAAGACAGCATCTCTGCTGCCTGCCCACGCCGTGGTGCCCCGGGAGCTCCTCACACCTTTGTACCTCCTCCCTAAAGCAAGAGAAAGGCCCCGACCTCGCGCACGGCTCTGGCCATCCCCGTCACTGCAGCTCTGGCAGCCTCTGCCGCCCCTCGGCCGCATCCCTCGCTGCTCACCAGGACACCGGAGGCCACCAGCAAGCTGCCTCCTCAGGACACCCCTCGGACACCCACAGCCTTGTGACCTCCTCATGCTGTCCAGCGGTGCCAGTGGCAACTGCTGGCACTGCCCGTCTCACACCAGGGACAATCCCAGGGACGGGAGGCCCCCGCAGCGACGCCCAGAGCGCCGGCTGCCCAGCTCCAGCCCAGCAGCAGCCCCATCGCAGCCTGACGGAGCGGTGGGACGGCAGCACAGCACACGTCCCAGTGTCAAAACACGGGACACCAGAGCGGGATCAGAATTTCTGGCTGGGCGGGCAGCTCTGAATTTCCCCTGGATGCCCATAACCTGGCTGAAGGCTGAGCCTCGAAGCGGGCTCCACCATCCAGCCAAACAAGGAAGCGTTTCTCAACAGCAGCAACAGCTACGACTCGGAGCAATACGGTAAATCTAATCTACCCTTCCACCCTCTTTTGGCTTGCAAGTCAGGCAGCTCATTCTTTTTCCTCTCTGGGTTCTCAGGAGAATTCTCTCTGCTAATTTCTTCTTTCCTGTAAACAAACTTCAAATGAAACTTTCATTAGAAAACAGAACACAATCCATTACCAGTGCCCGTCTCAGGACCAGCCGCCTTTTCCCCGGCTCCACGCCACTCGTGGCACAGATGGAAGTGACAGTGGCTGGCCCCACCAGCCAGCCCAGAGCCGAACCCCGCTGCTGCCGCCCTCCTCCTTCCTGCCTTTCCCCGCTCCCCGGAGAGATCTCCTCACCCCGCAGTAAAGTCCCATCGCTTTGTTTCCAACGTTCAAGGGATTGAGCGATCAAGGGTCAGGCAACGTGCGTGCAGCTCCTCTTCTGCAAGGGGAAGTCGGATCCTGCTGGTGCATTCACAGGCCACACCCAAACATCGGAGCAGGGCTCCCGGCACCGCGCAGGGTTTGGAAAACAACATCCTCGCTCCTCTCCTTATCTACAGTCCAACATTCACAGCTGCTCTGCAGACACTTGCAGCCAGTATTTTCTAACCGGCAAAGGCAGACGCTCCCATGTGCGGGACTCACACTCTGCCTTTCTGTCCCACTTTCCATTCGCCAATCTTGGAGCACCGCGCGTGCACGCGTCTGCTGAGCCTCCCAACTCCCCTCCGAGTTAGAAAAGTATTCTTCCTATTATAGAGCTGGAAACCCCGGGTACTGACAGCCGCCCTGGCTGGTCCAAGAGCACAGCGAGTCGCTGGCAGATCCAGGAACACAATCAAGACCTCAGGACTGCCGGGCTTTAACTGCTAGACGACGTTTCTTCACCGGCGGCTCTCCTTCCTGGAGAACAACCTCCCATAGCGCGGGCTGGAGCAGGGCAGGGGGGGAAGCTACTCTTATAACCGTATCTCGTAAACATGTGCAAGGCTATCGGTAACCTGCTTATTTTACAGCCGGGCTCGGTTTCTCGGGGACTGCCTCGCAAGTCTTTCTCCAGCCATTTACACGCTGTGCCTCGCGCTTAATATTCCAGGCTCTGAGTCTCAGGATGGTTTATTTTCTCTCTTTGAGTCCTTTTATTTTAAAACGTGTCCTTTCACGCCACAGCCTACTATCCCGATGGGATTTCCTTCCGTGGAGCGGGAACCGAGGCTGTGCGCCATGCAACCTCCCCAGCACACAGCCACGCTCAGCTTCCCACCAGAAGCTGTCGTGTTTTTAGAGTCAACAAAAGGCAACGCGAAAAAAACACTGCCAGCCGAGGAGGCGGCTCGGCGCTCGGGGACGAGCCCTCAGGAAGGCAGCCTCACCTCCGTCTCAGCAACTGTTTAAACCCGGCCCTCCGAGCATGCCAAGAAGGTATTGAACCAGATTTGACCCTAACTTAACCAGTTCAGCGCAGAGAAAGGCTTACTAATGGAAGATAAAACACTCCGGGTCAAAGATTGATACTGCAGCCACAAATGCCGTGGTGGTCACTGCTTCAAAGAGCCCGAGAAGCCTTAAAGCACACGGGTGTACGCTGGCTGTGGTGGCAGCGAGCTGTGACTGCGCTGCCTACTCGTGTGTGCAATTCACACACCAAACAGAACATCCCCAGCGCTCTTTGTCAGATCACTTACGTCCTCATTTTCTGCAATTTCTGCTGATTTCTACGGGACGCGGCAAAAACGAGTATTTGATAGTACCCAAAAAAACGGGCGCGAGAGTTAATTTAAAAGGCGAACGGCAAATGGCAGAAGAAGGCAGGACCATCCCCTCCTCCCCCCGCCCCCTTCCCCAAGGGCTCTTCTGCCGGGA